GTCTGTCCTCCCTCAGACCCAGACGTCTGTCCTCCCTCAGACCCAGACGTCTGTCCCCCACCACTCCTCCTCCCAGTCCGACATGGTCAATATTCAGTCATCTAACCCACATCCAGGAGCTTCCTACCCCCACGCCCCCCAAGCCTCCATCCCAGTGTCTACCTCTGTTCAGCTCCAACCGTCACTCCCCCATGCTCACCCCCACAGCCACCCAGTTCAACCTCCTCACCCCTCCCAACTCCCACATCCCTCCCTCTGTATCTCGGCCTCACCGACCCATCCCTCACTCCAAACCCAGAATCTTACAGAAACCCCACAGCCCCCACCTCAGCCTGAGGCCCCGGCTCGTCCTCCCTCCCATCCGGCGCACCATCCTCACACCGCCCATCACCCTCACTTACCCTCTGCACCTCACCCCCAGTCCATCCCAGGAGCTGTTCCTCTACAGAACTTGTCCCAGCTCTACCAGGACCCCCTGTACCCTGGTTTCCCCCTGGGAGAGAAGGGCGACATGGCCCTGACTCCACCCTACTCCACCAGCAAGTCAGGGAATGACCTGCCCCAAGGTGAGCGGGGAAAAAGGATTGTCAAAATATGTAATTCATCTGATTATTGGATTTTAAAAGTAAAAATGTGCAAGATTAGAAGCAAGCACTGGAGAATTGTTCTTTCTTTATAATTAGTGATTAGTTGCAGATTTTTGTTTATTTAGGAAAAACAGAAATATATCAGTGAAGGCTGTTAATAAAGTTTATTGGGGGGGGTGCAGAGCCAGACTCAACCAGAACAACCCAATATGCCGACATTGTGTCCAGAGTCAATCTACAGAATCAGGATTGTGCCTGATCCAGGGTTTGGTATTAAGAGAAAACAAATTGGCAACCATCATTGTTGTGTTTATGTTGATATTGTTTCAGACTGTTGGTTAATACTGGACAATATAAAGTGATTTATCTGCTGCACCATCGTCACTGATTAATTGTTTATCTTCCTCTGCAGACGTCAACATCTTGAGGTTTTTCTTCAACATGGGCATCAAGGTACGACAACTAACCAGAAGTTTTTAAGACTCAGTAGAGCTCATTCCTTCAATCAAGCTGCTTCAAACTTATAAATAAGTCTTCGTTTTTCGACGAGGACGGAGTGAGAGTCTGTGGCCGATGATGGTTTTATGTATCACCACATTTCATGTTACATTGGACCGGAGAAATGAGCTGTGATGATGAGACGATCTGTTAAAAACGGTTTCTAAATGACATTTCTGCTGTGGTTTTCTCTTATTGGCTGCAGAGGGCGCTGTTGCTCAGTGAAAGTTACATAGTGTTGCTTTAAATTACATCAAAAAAAATTTGGCACCAAAATCAGAAACTGAAACTAATCCGTGCTGCTCCTCTCTTCTCTCCAGGCGTACTCCATGCCCATGTTCCCCCCCTACATTTACCTCCTCCCCCTCCAACAGGCCCACACCCTGCAACCAAAGCTCCCCTCCCGCTCCCCCTCCCCAACCCCTCATTTCCCTCCCCCCAACGCCCCCATCAGGCACCAGGAGGCGTACCCTCCCAACCCTCCGACTTCAATGCCAGCGCTGCCTCTGTACAGCCACCAAGCCCCAGTTACTGAGCCCCCCCGTCCCAGTGAACCCTCCTTCAACCAGGCCGGTTACCCCGTCACCCAGCCCCCACCCCACAGGATGCCCTGCACCTCGCTGCCATGGCAACAGCACCAGATGCCCCCACCCACAAACTCCAGTTACCCAGCTGGGTATCCCTCGTCAGCTCCGCCATACCAGCTTCCTCCTTCTTCTCAGGGGTACCATCCAGGTCAAGGCACAGGTCACCTGCTGTACCCCCCAACCATGCCTCCATACCCCCCCTCCTCGCTGGGGTACCAGTCCTCATCCAACTCTGACAAGCTCCAGGTGACTCAGGGGCCGATGGAGCAGCTTCAGCCAACCAACGGAGATGCACTCTCTGGGCATGGGCATGGTCCTCTGGATGGTGCTGCTGCTGCTGCTAATATGGCTAATGCTAACAACAGAACAATGTTGGTTTCTGGTGTGAACAATTTTGGTACGCAGACGTTTTTTATTATATAAAATCTCATAAAAAAATGTTTTACTTTCAGATTTCAAATGAAATGTTTTTCAGTTGTGTATTAACAAAGGGCACAGATGAATTGTGGGAATTGAGTTCCACACATGTGAAGCAGTTTTTGCCACCAGGGGGAGATGAAGTGCTGAATACCTCAGTGCAGATTTCAATGTGATGTTTTTCTTTTTCATCAGCGCTGAAGAAGGAGCAGGGAGAGAGTTTGAAGAGGACGGTTCTGCTGGTCGACCCGCCTCTCAACAACAGACCCATAGTACTGACACACACACACACACACACACACACACACACAATCTTCTTAGTGTCTTTACTCAACTTATGATGAAAACTAATCCTTCTCTCTATGGGGAGAGCTTGGATTTTTTCAATATATAATGGGGTGGAGGGAGTACTAGTAGTAATAGAAGGTTTGTAGTAGCAACTATAACAATAGTAATATTTAATATAAGTATATTAACATTGTAGTAACAACACGGTTTCATATTGAATCCAAATTGCACAAAACATTTTGGGCCAATAACGATGTACGGTTTGTGAGAGGAGTTCACGTACAGACAGATGTTGGTGGAATTATTAGGTGGATATTGTTGTATGATATTTAGTAGTGGGAGTACTGACACAGTTATATTTTTAAACCAAGTTGAACACTCCTCTCTTTCTCACAGCTCGCTCTGGTCTCAAACTCTGATGACCCTGTCTCCATGACGACCATGAAGCCCAGCAGCACCCCTGGTTCTCCATTACCTTATGGCATCATCTCCAAGACAACCGTCCCTGGTGACAACAGCGCCCCCCATGTCTATCAGGTCCACCCAAAACAATTTAACCCCAACAAAATGTACGTCAAACTGGGAGTACAGGAGCCCGGAAAGGCGGGACATCTGCAGACCATGCCTATGACGGATGCTCTGTCCGTGGGCTGCAGCACAGAGGATGACTGGGAAGAGAGGGAGGGATTCAAACCGGCAACCTTGAATCCCAGAGGGTCAAAGAGGATCTACAGAGGGCGAGGGAGAGGCGGAGGCTATGATGGAGGTAGGGGAGGACACAGGAGGAGGCAGGGAGGAGAGGGCTTTAACCACGGACAGTTTAGCCCCTCCTACCGGGGGCGAGGATGGTGAGGCAAGTTCTCAGCCAATGAAAGGAGAGGACAGTGGAGGGTTTTTTTGCCTTATTTACCTACTACTCGTTCTGATCGCACTTTTTTCTTGTAACCGCCTTAAGGTCTGATTGATGGATTGGGTCGATACTCATCGTGTTCTGTGTCAAAATCTTCCAGCCAGATGTTCAAAGAAACACTATCAAGCTCATTATTAGCTAGCTGATTAGTATAGAATGTTAGCAAGAGCAAGTTTACATAAGGAATATCAGTGTTTTTGTTTTGGGCTGCAATGATTTCTTTTTTTTTTGCATATGTAATCTGTCAGTAATTTGGTCCCGTTGCCTTTTGTCTGAAAAACAGTCGGACAGTCGTATAATCTCCCACTCGGAATTTTGAGTTTGATTAATGTAAAATGTATGCGATTCTGCCGAGATGGACGAGGTGGTTGATAGCGCAGTTAAGCATAGAAGGAAAACAGCCCAGGGTACTGTCATTATTGCATTTTGTGTAGATTAAACAAACGGCTAGCGTGGTTTAACATTAGCAAGGAAGAAAAAATGGAAACCTGCACAAAACCCACGTTAAAACCACAAAATGTAATTTTTATGAGTCTGCCATTGCACATATTAAACATCTGATCGAATATGGCTTCCTGTTTCTTGATGTTTGTTAATGTTGATGCTACGCTAAGCTAGCCATTGTCTGACTCTAAGCACACGGTATAAATTTTTTCAAAATAGTTAAACAATTCCTTTAAGTATAGGTGAATGCAGCATGTCCACAAAGCATTCAAAGTTCAAGACTACAGTTTTTCACTGTTGATAAAAAGTGACAAAAAACATTGTAAAATTTGTATTTACAAAAATATATAACTAGAATAAAGACACAATGGAGCGGACATATATATAATATGAGGATGTACATGTGTCAAGCATTGATCAAGTTCAGTGAGTAGCGTGGACTAAAATATAAACAGTTTAAAATGGATTAAACCAACAAATTATGGACTTGATGACAGCCTAAAGAAAAAGTGTATCGCTGCTATGACGCGACAGCAGCCGAACTGTGTGGACTTTAGATTTTTTTTTTTTTTTT